TTATAGCTGTAAGGGGTATAAATAGTCACTTTCCCCAATCCCATTTCACCCCTCCCCCTACCACTTAGCCCTTACCCCTCTGTTTTGCGTGTTCATGTCTAGGGGTAGGGTGTCCTGATTCTTGTTGAGATAGAGGGGTTGGGCGAAGTGTTAGGGCTTCATAGCCCTCCAAACGGAGGTTTTTCAGAGACACACTCCAAACAGAGTGTTATGAAAAAAAGAAAAACCAGTAAGCATAAAAACAAGCATAAAAATGTGCTCAAAGCATGCTGACATCTTGTTAGCTAGGCAGCTAAATTTCCCGTTCCACCTTAAATAGTCCAGCAGTTCTGACAGCTGATGCGTCAGAATGTAACTGCTGCTCCATTTAAGGTGGAACAGGAAAATTTGAACAAAAAAAAAGCTGGCAAACAGCTGACTCAGCTTCATATCGCTGAAGAATTAGGGGTGGGCAATAATAAATAATTGCCCCCCTCCCTTGGAAAGCATACAATGCCCTAAATGTAACTAAAGCCCAGCAGTGAGGAGCTGAACTTTACCCTCCTCTGCTGTCACTGCAGACTGGCAGGGTCGCCTACAGAGCAGCGCTGGTAGCTGTTAATGAAGTAATGCTCTTTATTTGAGGGTCCCATTTCAGAGGGAAGATTTCAACCACTACATCTTATAACTTTCGTAAGGGGTAAAAATAAGAAATAGGACTAGGCCTTACAACCCCCTATCCATCAGCCTGGTCCAGCATGACTGAGCCCTGTGGAGGAACTCCAGTGGTCTGCACAGATCCCTGACCTCAACCCCACTGAACAACTTTGAGATGAACTGGAATGTCACTTCTGAGCCAGGCCTTCTCATCCAACATCAGTGTCTGACCTCACCAATGCTCTTTTGACTGAACGGCCACAGATTCCCAGAGAGTTCTAGACAGTTTATTGTTACATTCACTCTGCTTAGCTTCATCCTGATCCAGCTGCTTAATATGCCTGAACATTAAAAGTATCTAAACATTACAACAGCAGTGATGTCATAGTCAGTGGGCTCTAACTACTGGGAAGCGGGGGGCAGTGTTGGGGGGTGTATAATGTGCTGCTTTATTCACTATTATGTTTATGTAAATGTGTTTCAACCTTTTCATTTTTAGTCATCTAATCATCAAATAAACCTGTGCTTAATTGCTTAATTTTTTTGTTTTGGGTTGTTTACTTCATATATACGCTGATGTCTGGTCCCACCTATTAGAACTATATTACAATAGAAGGAACATTTGTAATAGCTCGCTGCATTAATGAGCATAATAAGTGTACATATGACAAGTACAATTTTACAATGGATTTAAACACAGCCAATCAGACTTCAGAATATATATCCATTTTATAGTTGATATTTTGATGGATGCGTCCTTGATTTGAACTAAAGATGGTTGATGATCAGACTAAAGAATTTGTCAAATTGTATAACTAAGATATTTATAAACTTACATTTGTGAGTTCAGACCATGCCTTCAACATGGTGGTGGTAGTATGAGGGAAGAATGATTGAGAGAGGATAGAGTAGCTGTTGTAGGACTGATGTAGGACTGACATCAGTGGTAGGGATTGCAAACACTTTGTCACAGGAACAGAAGGTGAGGATGCGAATTTATAGGGCATTATATTGAAAGAAGGAGGGGTTTCAGGCATGTTCCTCTCCCCAAACTTCAGTTAAAACATTACTACATTTTTAGGACTACTAAGTAGACCACATCAACACAGAGGCTGTAGAGAGTCCCCAGCTCCACGTTCTTGAGAGTCACCCTCACAGAAGGCCTTTCCTGGGTTGGCAACACCTCAGCAGTGTTGGTTAAGGCACTGCAAGGAGGCTAAGAAGAGCCAACCTCCCACAAAAGCTGCTCATCAGCTTTTACAGCTGCACCACAGAGAGCATCCTGACAAACTGCATGACAGTCTGGGACAGCAGCTGCACCAAAGCTGACGAAAAAGCCCTCCAGCGTGTTGTGAAAACACATTGTTCAGCATAGAGTTGCCATCACTAGAACATCTCCCCAGAACTTGCTGTGTGAGGAGGGCTAAGAACATCATAGAAGACGTTACACACCCTGAACACCCTCTGATTAAGCTCCTCCCATCAGGCAGGCGCCTCAGGTCATCTCCTCAGCCTGAGCGACTGATCTGCTGCTAATATTGAAGTAAGTTCAACATTTACTTACATGTCATTTCAAGCACTGATTATATACAGTATTTATACCCCAAACCACACGTCACTCAACACTCACTCCGCACCTTTACTGCACTCATGGCTGCTGCTGCTTTTTGCACCCTGATATTAGCTGTATTTTATACTGTATAATGCTTTTACACACCAATCAGGCATTCAACATTATGACCACCTCCTTGTTTTTACGCTCATTGTCCATTTTATCAGCTCCACTTACTATATAGGTGCACTTTGTAGTTCTACAGTTACAGACTGTAGTCCATCTGTTTCTCTGTGTACTTTGTTGGCCCCCTTTTACCCTGTTCTTCAGTGGTCAGGACCCCCATGGACCCTCACAGAGCAAGTACTATTTGGGTGGTGGATCATTCTCAGCACTGCAGTGACACTGACGTGGTGGTGGTGTGTTAGTGTGTGTTGTGCTGGTGCGAGTGGATCAGACACAGCAGTGCTGCTGGAGTTTTTAAACGCTGTGTCCACTCACTGTCCACTCTATTAGACATCCCTACCTTGTCAGTCCACCTTGTAGATGTAAAGTCAGAGACGATAGCTCATCTGCTGCTGCACAGTTTGTGTTGGTCATCCTCTAGTCCTTCATCAGTGGTCACAGGACGCTGCCCACAGGACGCTGTTGGCTGGATATTTTTGGTTGGTGGACTATTCTCAGTCCAGCAGTGACACTGACGTGTTTAAAAACTCCAGCAGCACTGCTGTGTCTGATCCACTCGTACCAGCACAACACACACTAACACACCACCACCACATCAGTGTTACTGCAGTGCTGAGAATGATCCACCACCCAAATAGTACCTGCTCTGTGAGGGTCCATGGGGGTCCTGACCACTGGAGCTGATAAAATGGACAAGAGCGTAGAAACAAGGAGGTGGTCATAATGTTATGCCTGATCTGTGTATATTGTTTAGATTTCCTACTTATATATTGCTTATATTTTATGTCTCATCTTATTCTTGTCAATTATTTTCTGTAAATATGTTTGAATGCAGCATTTACATGCACAATTGCAAATTCATTGTGCTTACACAGTGACAAAGTTCTTGAATCTTGAGTCCTAAATACATTCACCATATTAGAGGTATGAGGTTTTGTTCTGACAGCAAGAGCTAACCTTATCTGACCTTCTTGCTGATGCATATTTTATTGCTTTTAAATAAAACAAATGTAGGGAAAAGCTATTTTCACACGTTTGCAAACAGAGCGTCATTGTATTCTCCCTGCATGTCTTAAGGAAACAATTCCTGGACAAATAAAATGGGTGGGGGGTCCAAATCCCCTCCAATTTGATGAAAACATGCGCATTTAGGGCTTGTGGAGACAGCTGCCTGCGCTACATGCAGAAAAACACTTACTACAAAATCTCAGGCTTTTATCAGAAAAAGTCAAAGCAGCCGAAGCCGATGTGGCTGTTGAGTTTAAGGTCAGAGAGCACAGCAGCGTTTATACCCACACTTCAGTTCACATCAGTCAGTTCAGACGGACAAAGTAGAAAGAGGTGTGTGGAGAAAAAAGGTCTTATGTAATATTATGTAACACATTTATTGCAGCATATTATTCTTTATTTCTCACTTTTGTGATAAACAAATGCTCACTTTCCAAACTCGCTTCACAATTTCATATATAGTTGTACATAAAAGTGTAAATTGACAACTTAACAAGTTTGTAAAGCTCAGCAGAAGAAATCTTTGATGATAAATGGCAAAAAGTCTGATGTACACAGTTCTCCAAATACTGCTGACCAATGCATGTTTGGTGTCTGGAGTTTGCTTCTTTGGTTTTGCACTGGACCTGTCCAGGGTGTTTCCTGCCTACTGCCCAGTGAGTGTTGAGATAGGCTCCAGCACTCACCCATCCAACCCCCCCTTGACCCAGAAGGATAAGTGGCTTAGATAATGAGTGAGTGATGAGTTTTGCACTGGAGCTACGAGGCTAATGCAGCTATCAAGTAATGGAATCTACACTTTACTGAAGGATAATGTTCATGAGGCTGCATGACACCTCCATAAGCTCTTCAAGACATTAACCTACATAGACATTTATATTAATTTGATAAGAAATTATATCTTAGCAAGTAAAAACATCATAAATCTAGCCAGTACACCTAATATTCCTCATTATGAGATTGCTGTAAGAGTATTATAAGATTAAATAACTTATTTCTTGACCATCTGTGCTGTTTTTAAGTCATCTTATCTCATATAAGTCTCTTATTCCATTGTCAGAACATTTTACCTGTTTTAAGCATTATTTCTTAAAATAGGCAAAATGATCTGCATTATGTCTCAGAACAAATACATGACACTTTTACTAGATAAAATTATTTAAAACAAGTAAAAATGTATAGAAATGAGATAAAAACATGCATTTTCTAAACTGCTTATCCTTCTGGGCCAGTATAGTGAGATAATTTTACTTGATAAAATGACCTAAAACAAGTAAATAGTGTCTAGGATTGGGATTAGATAAGTTTAAAATAACTGCACACCAACGACAAAATGAGAAATATTACATTTATAGACTAGATTAAAGGTCATTTTAGTTGACAAGATACCATTTTTTGCAGTGTTAAATATGAATTGGTTTGGTATTAAGCTACATAATTGACTTTGCAACTTCAGTGCTCATCCAAAGAAGCAAACTTTGGGTATCAACAATATCTCGACTACATTTTTAGTACAGGAAAATGATATGAAATTAGATTTTTCGCTGAATTATCACTTAGTGTCTACATACAAGCACTAAACAGGTCAGTCTGGACGTGACTGTGCACCGTCGCTCTTTTAGACGGAGGTGATACACTCAGTAGTACTGGTCACACAAACTCCGCAGTCGCATCTCAGGGCCACTGGGTAAGTGTAGTGGGGATCCACGCCGGCCGTGCAGTTGGGCAGCTGGACAGTCACAAACTGTGTCTGGTTGTAGGTGCACACCCTCTGGTAGGACTCAATGAAGGGTGGGTCCAGAACTGGCTTCTGTTGGAAATGGACAATAGCATAAAATGTTCAGTGGTTTATATGCGACATGTCCAGGATGCTTCTAATGGGTGAATTCGGCTACTTTAAGGCGCACCTACTGATGACACTGTGCACACAGTTTGGATAATCTCAATAGAAAATCACTGACCAATTGGATGGTACACTTTGGAGCACTTGCACATGAGCCTAAGGTCACTATATCCAATGCCAAGTGTGGGCTAGAGGGTATAAAGCCCCCCAGCATTGGGCTGTGGAGCAGTGGAACTGTATTCTCTGGAGTGATGGAGCTCCATCCAGTACCTTTGGGATGAGTTGGAGTGATCCAGAACTGACCATCTAACGTCAGTACCTGACCTCACTAATGCTCAATCAAATCCTCACAGCAATGTTCCACCATCTAGCGTAAAGCCTTCATAGAAGAGTAGATGCTGTTACTGCAGCAAAGAGGGGCAAACATGCTATTAACACCCTTCATTTCAGAAGAAACGGTGGAGGAGCAGGCGGTTTACACCCCAGTAAGCCACAAACACAGATGGACATTTATAGCGAATGATTATTTGGGTCAAACTAAGTGCTCAGCTCACAGCTTTAGAAAAGTGAGTTACAGTAACATGAGCGCCATCAATAATTCACTTAAATGCTGACGCAGCAGTTATACAGTTATACAGCGTTAAGACTTTCTTCACTCGCCTGTCTTTTATTTCATATTCAGCTTTTCAGAAGCAGTTTGTGTGATTATCTCTGCACAGCTGAATTAACTGGGCTCAGATGCTGGAAGAGTTGCTGAAAGAGTAGATTTGTGTTGATTTCATTACAAACCTCAGCTCATGATGCTGCACTGCTTTTGTCTTGTTTTCTCACTGTGTGTAAACGTGTAGAATGTGCAATGAGGTGTATTGCAAGGTTTTCTGATATCAGTATTGACACTGACGTGTTGACTTTGATCCTGTTTACTGAATGTTACTTTTTTCAATTTCTTTGAAAGTGGGTGTGGCTTAAAATAAATAAATGAGTGTGAGGTGCTGGAGGTGGATGCATTTATGACCGCAATGGACTATCTATCTATCTATCTATCTCTATCTATCTATCTATCTATCTATCTATCGTGTGCATGTCCATCCGTCCGTTCATCCGTCTGTCCATCTTTCTACATATCTACCAACTGTCCATCTGTCTGTCCATGCAGATATATATATATATATGTATATAAAAGCACAGGATTATATATTTATATATTTATGACCACAGTGGACTATCTGTCTATCTAGCTATCTATCTATCTATCTATCTCTCTATCTATCGTGCGCATGTCCGTCCGTCCGTTCATCCGTCTGTCCATCTTTCTATATATCTACCAACTGTCCATCTGTCTGTCCATGCAGGCCTGTAAGCCCCAAAAAATGCCAGACCACCCTTCCAATTGCCCACCTGCCCCTTGCCTCTTTCTCTATCTCTCCTATATATATATATATATATATATATATATATATATATATATATATATATATGTATATAAAAGCACAGGATTATATATTTATATATATTATATATATATTTATATATATATTTATATAGTACTGCCAGATGTGGGTCACTAACAATCACCAACACAGACCATTGATCAGATCTGAGCATCAATCTGATCAATGAGGCTTGTAATGTGAGCGATCAGAATGAAGCGTTGTGCTCAATAACAGCCGCAGCTGCTCCACCTGTGTTTGTGCCACCTGCCTGTGTGCCATCTGTGTGTGTGCCAGGTGGTGAGGAAGACTGCAGCGCCTCACCTCCCAGGTCTCACAGCGCCCCCAGCAGGCGTCCGTGGTGACCTGCAAACCTCCGCAGCCGGGCTTTCGAGCCAGAAAGGTGAACTCCCTCACAGCACAGCCGACAAAACTCTGCAGGTTCACGGCAGACACTTCAGTCGGACCACCGCCATGACCACCACACAGCCAGACAGATATCCCCACACAGAACAGTGTGAGTGGAGACAAACTGGAACAACCACACAAAGAGAGGTCATGATATGATTTCGCTCCAAGCCCTTAAGCTGCACTCTGTCTGTTTATCTACTGCTTGGCTGTCTTAATTAAAACTATTAAAACTATTACATGCTACATGTTACGCTATAGGATTAAGGATAAATATGCCAAAAAGAATTGCATAGAAGAACCACCCTAAAGAACCTTGTGAAGAACTTCTAGAACCTCCACATAGGGCAATGGTTCTATATGTCCAGCACTATATGTCCAGGCCAAGAACCATGTAGAAACATACATACATACATCATCTAAACCGCTTATCCTTCTGGGTCGCGGTGGGGTGCTGGAGCCTATCCCAGCTGTCATTGGGCGGAAGGCAGGATACACCCTGGACAGGTCGCCAGTCCATCGCAGGGCAGACAGACAGACATACACAGTCACACACACACTCACACCTAGGGGCAATTTTAGCACGTCCAATCGGCCTGACTGCATGTTTTTGGACTGTGGGAGGAAACCGGAGTACCCGGAGGAAACCCACGCAGACACGGGGAGAACATGCAAACTCCACACAGAAATGACCCTGGTCGCCCGGCCGGGAATCGAACCCAGGCCATTCTTGCTGTGAGGCAACAGCGCTACCCACTGCGCCACCGTGCCGCCTACCATGTAGAAACCTTTACTTTAAAAACTGTAAAGGAGCTTTACTTTAAGTAAAGTTCTACATAAATTAACATCTTATTTACAACAGTAGTTCCTTAAAGGTTGAAAACTTTCTTTATATGTTACAACACACATAAAAATATATGGATGGAAAACTTGCTGGTGTCACTGCTGGGGCCACCGCTTAAAAATGTACAGCCTAGAGCAGCTCAGTGGTTGAAAAATGACCACTGATAAAGGGATAAACAAAGGCTAACACAAACTGCATCAACAGATGAGCTACAGTCTCTGACTGTACACCAGCAATGTGGAGCTGCAATACAGGGGTTTCTGATAAAGTGGCCAGCGTATAAATAGAGATATTTCTCCTGAGTAAAAATTATGTTACAAGATATGAACCTTCCCGTTAGAAGATAAGACCTTACCATAGTGCTCGAAACCTCCAGAAGGCCATTGATGGATCCAAGCAGGAACGCAGTAAAGATCAGTAGCTGCACTTGTTTTCCTTTTTTTAGAACTGTCAATAAATTTTCTTCTTCAGGTCTGTAGTATCTGACTCAGTACTTGACTGAGCATACATCCAGCTGGAGATCCTAAAAAAACCCCTCCTTGAGTGGCCGTGGGCTCCTGTATCTACGGCAGGAACTTCACCGCACTGCTATTTATATGAATAACCCTACTATTCAGATCCAAAGGGAGACGGAGAGCTGTCTCTACCAGTTTAACTCCATTTTCTCAGGCGCCATTAACAAGCATTGTTGGCGTCTGTCTCTCCACTGTCTCACCAGGTGTTCCATTAGCTTAATGAGCAGGAAACACAGGCTTTTTGTTCCGATTTAGCCACACGGAAAAGTAAGGCACGTTCCCTTATCCCTCAAATCCATCCATCCGTCCATCCACGCACTCGTCCTCATTATCAGACAGACGGCGTATGACTGTGTGATTGTGCGGTTGAGAGTCATTTGGTAGCAGAAGTGCAAGTTTATTACCATTGTTGATCTGCCTGAGGGGCCTGAAGGCTTTAAATATATCCAGTTGATTTCAAGCCCTGCTGAAATAAGCCGCCTGTCACTCAAAGTGCTCTGAGAGTTAGCTGGAGGATTTATTAAAGTCAGACTCAGTGAACAGAGGCCATGCACTGTTTTTGTTTGACACATTAGCTCTATAGCTGCAGCTAACAGGCCGTCATGCCGTTTATTTATTACCACTACCAGTTGGTGGGGCAATCACCCTGGGGCATATGGCTCTCTTACTGGGCCCCTCGTATAGATATTAACGCAATTGTACTCACATATGGAGATATAGTTACTTAACAGCATACAATGTTGTGCAAAAGTCAGAAACCACCTTTTCATTTATTTAATTTCCGTCAAAACAGACAAGTTCATTTTTCAGCATCAAGAAAGCGTATTTGGGTCATTCTCCATTTGGAGTGGGAATTCAGGTGGATACATTTTTATATGCCCATCTTAATATGTCCATTAACATCTCCTATTATCATACATGCAGAAAGGAGAGCTTAATTCCAAACATATTTTACAGTCACTGGTGTTGTATGAATATGGTGTAACACCAGTGATGGTGACTCCAGTGACATTCTGGTTAAAACTGAGGATTTCGTAAATGGTCTGACTCATTGGCTGATCAGGTGACCTTGTGCAACTATTTAAAATCAGCAATAAAAATGATAAATGGCATTATTTTAATAAAATGTTAATTACCCAGCCATTAAAGCACAAAATACCAGTGACACATAGACGTTATGTGCTACAAAATTATTAATAAAGTAATGAAATATAGTGAGCGAGTGCGACTCGCCTTCTCATGCCTTGAGATGCTTCCTCTCTGATGAGCCTCGACCCAAAGAAGCAGTTTAATAGAGCTGAAAATACTGTGTTCAAATGTATATAAGAGTCCTGAAAACACCAGCAACCAAACTATCTGAGACAAATGAATTTTTAAAATGAAATACATTTTTTTCAAATGTAGTTTAACGTTAAAGATATAAAAAGTAAACATGAATCTGTTTTATACAAATTTCCAAGTTAAACCTCTTAAAAATATTGTTTTCTACTAAAAATGGTTTCTCAAATGTTGAAATTTGGTTTTGTGACGAGCTGTTTTACAGATGCAGAGCGACTATAAAACAGGATTAAAAGAAAAATCAGAGAATCATGAGGGAAAAGTGTTATTTAATCGTAGGTCAACTGTGTAAATGTACATGCCGACTTTTGGAGCTGTGCCTCATATTTTAAGCATTTTTTTAAGCCCTGCAGTCTTTGTGACGTGGTTTCCCCTCTGAATGCAGCAAATTACACAGTAGCCTCAATGACTAAATATAATGTCACTTTTTTCAGTATTTCATATGTCCACCATTTACCTTCGTAACCCTTTTGTAACTTCATAACAGCTTTTATTCTTTTCTGACACTCACTTTCCGTTTTTCAAAGAAATCTGCAGGGATATTTTTCCACACCTCCGAAGTTCTCAGAAGTTGGTTGAATTTCCTGTTCTAATCATAATTATAAATGTCTTCATCACTCATCAGTCCATTAAACCTCACTCCATATCTCAGATGTCTCCTTTTCTCAGTGAGGTTCTTCTTGATCAGCTACACATCCTTTCAGACCCACAGCGCTGAGTCGTCTTCTCACAGTGGAAGGATGGACAGAAACACCTGTGGATGTTTTCAGATCTGAAGCAGCTTGATTTTCTCCTCTCTCTCAGAGGTGAAAGCTTTAAGTGCTGTTTATCTGATGGGGGCAGTTTTGGTGTCTACCAGGTCTTCCGGGTGGCTGTTAGCAGCCCCATTTTCTCAGTAGCTTTTAATCAGTTTTTGAACTTCAGTTTTGGAAACTCCTGTTTGTTTCTGCTTCCTGATGGGAGTAGATTGTCTTATATTGACTCTCCTCATAAATATCTCTTGAAATATGACTAACTTGTACTTTATTTGCTGTTTTGAATGGGAATTAAATAAATGAAGGGTGGTCTCTGACTTTTGCTCAATACACATCACAAATTCATTCACATAATATGCAAAATTAGACTGCATGACAGTTTATATTAGATGGTTGTGGGTGGAGTGGCATCATTTATAAGCATCATCTTATTTGAGCAATATGGAGTAAACAAGCAAATTACACTGTACATTTTTTCTATTATTTTAACCTTTTTTATGATGGGCATTCATTTTTTTAATACAAGTTCCTTGTTACACCACTGACTACCACTATACACAGCTGACTCCTACTAACTTGTGTATATTTCAAGTGACACCTTCTGGCAACAGAACTTGAGCCAAAAAAGGCAATGAAAATTCTTGTTTCTGTTTAAAATATGAAAATAAATCTAATGTTTCAGAGTCAGAAATGACAAATATTTGTGCCACATGTAGTTTTTAGCAAAATGTGTCTGTTTTTAATTAAATGGTCAGGACCTGCTGATGAGTCCAAACTTTTGTTTGCACTGTAGTTTTTTTGTTTGTTGTTTTGTTTTGTTTCAACAGTTTGAAGGAGTCTTGTTATCTGAGTAAAACAGTGATTTGGCCTATCATAATAATATACTGACCTCTAGTGGTCATGAGTCTGACTCCTGTCAGTGTTCCCCAGTCCTGGTTCCACAGCATGTCTGCCCTGCATGTTTTAGTACTTTTCCTACTGTAAGGCCAACAGATTTCACCCTTTATCCCAAATGTAGTCAGTCTGCCAAGACATGTTTGGTGGCTGATGTAGCTAACAAGTAATAGAAGCTTATAACCTGCCAGTGAGCACTATGTAACCTACAAAGCTCACTTAGCCCACGTCTAGTTCTTCAGTAATCTCTTATGTGGTTTCTGATGATGTATAATATAATATGAAGTTTTCTATAAATCTGAACAAAACTGCAGGTAAAATTCTGCTGCTGCTCCATTTAGTTTTGTCCATTTCTATAGATAACAATGTGTCATACAGTGGCAGAAACTACATAAGCACAAAGGTTTTTGAGATTAATTAACAACTCAACACAGTTTGAGGTGAGTAATGGTTCAGGCTTGGAGTTAGCATGATGCTAATCAATGAGGTATAAGTGTGCATTTCTTGTTAGCCTTGTAGTTCCAGTGCAAAACTACATAAGCAATCTTCAGACACCAAACACTCTTGTGTGATCGACTACATTTGGGGTAAATACGTCTCTGGAATATCTGAAGAGAAGGCCTAGCTTTGTTAGCATGATTCAAGAGTGGTCCTGCGTAAGTTTGGATGTGGGTCAGGAATGCTGGACCTACTTGGACTCGACAGGCAGGGTCCATACAAGTTAACTAGCTAGTTAAGTACAGCTAGAATGCATATCTATTAGCATTCTGACGGAATTTGCCAAAAATATTCCCTTAACGAGCCCCTCATGATGTGTTTTAGAGCAGGAAAAACACTGTAGGGTCATTCTACAGTGTCCCTAGTGTTTACAGATGTATTACACTTAAAAAAACACGTTAGGGTTACAATTGTTTTACATCTTCAAAAAAAACAATAAGTTATTTTAACAATTAGACCTTCTTGAGCCTCAGTTTAGTAATATTGGTTTTTAAGTCAATTATCTAGAATTCTGAGCACCATAAAAGAGCTCGTCCTCACAGTCATGTATAAAGGCTGAGGCCATATTTTGAAGTAAAAAAAACAAATTTTTCTGCCATTTTAACTACAATAATCTATACATGACTATGGAATATACAAATTAAATGACATAAAGAAAACAAATGCCAAATAAATATTATAAACTATATAATGTAGGTTGTTGTCATCGGGAGTCGTGTCACTGGTGTTACCGCGTAAGAAAAAATCTCTTATTTTGAAATAAAAATCACACTGATGACATCACTTGACTTCCTTATACTTGTTTTCTGAGGATCTATGAAGAAAAGCACATGGTGAGTCTACTGTGTCTTTCAGTTATCAGAGATTTTCTCATTCAGCTCATGATTTCATATGAAGCTTTTAGCTGAAGTCACTGGTGTGACCGACTTTATTCTGAGGTAACTGTGAAAAAATAGAATACAAATGGATTAAATTCCATATTTTAGTGGATATTCCATGATTGACAACATGTGGTTTGATGTTCTGTAGCAGCCACTTTGTAAAATGTTACCTTTCTTATGTGTAACACCAATGAGGATCGGTAGCACCAGTGACTCCTATGGAGAGACAGCAAAGTGGACGTTTCTGTAGAATGACCCTGTAATGTTTTACTCCAGAGGGGCTCAAGAAGCAGGAATGGAAGTCCCCACTTACACATAATCACCATGAGTGATATGGACTGGTCTGAGGAAGCTGTTTAACAACTAAGACTTCACTCTTAAAATGTCTGAGCTTGACTTACTTGTGAAAAAACATATCCCGGCCCAGCATGCAGGCAGGGTGCCAAATGCAGGCAGAGTGGAGGTTATATTTAGAGCCCCCAGTGGGAGGGTCCATCACCCAC